GTTTAATTTATATTCAGTCTTTGATACAGTCTTTGTATTATATATCGTAGTGGGCCACTTTGAAATTTCATATACAGCAATCAACTTTGGAATTTTCTGTTTATAATATATGGAAAATTGTGATATTTTTCTATTTAACCACCGACTGCTTCAACATTTCGGCTTAAATTAAACGGAATAGGAATAAAGTAGGAGCAGAACATTAGGCTTTTATTGGGTCAGACGTGGGGTTATAATTTAAGGCCTACATGTAATACCGGGCTTAATTTAATTTTTAATCTATTAACTATCACCTTGATTTCATTTTAGTTTAGAAACTATGTTTTATTTCTAAGTTGTCTATTAACTTTCAGATTCATTTCAATTTCGTCTACTTTGTCAAAGATAACAGAAAACTTTCTATTCGTTAAACAGTTAGTCCTCTAACTATATTTTTTTTGATCTTTTAATCCTCAAATTTATATTTGTTATAAAAATAACTTTTATACTTAAAATTATTATTTTTAGACTTTGATACCAAATTTTTATTCGAATTTTCAGAATTTAACTCAAACTACTACTAAGTAATGAATAGCTAATATGTTAGGCACAGTTAGTGTAGAATTAGATCTACTAGACTGCTAACAAAGATAATCACTTTTTAGTTGTATCTAGATCTTATAAAATTTTTTATTTATATCACTTTCTAGTTATGGAATTATTCTGTTATACATTTTTAAGATTTGATTGCAAATTTTTTAGCAATTGCTTTTAATATCTTTAAAATTTCTTCTATTTTGATTTCTATCTCTCTTACTCGAGATATAAGAGTTTTTGAGTTTTTAATAGACCTTATTTCTTCTTTTATTTCTTTCAAATTTCTATAGTTTTTGACATTATTTATTTTTTCTTTAATAGAATCAAATTCTTGAGAAAGGGATTTTCTCATTTCTTTAATTCTTCTTAGGGTATTTTCATTAATTGTTTCTATTTTTAGAATATTATCTATGATAATTGTATCTTCTATATCTATTATATTTTTTCCTATTGTATTGAGTAAATACATGTTAACAAATAAATCAAATTAACATGTATTTACTCAATAAATTTGAAATAAGGTCTAGAAGAAATAAGGTCTATTAATGATTCAAAAACTCTGATATCTCAAGTAAGAGAGATAAAAATCAAAATAAAAGAAATTTTGAAGATATTAAAAGCAATTGCTGAAAAATTTGCAATCAAATCTTAAAAATGTATAACAGAATAATTCCACAACTAGAAACTGATAAAGATAAAATTTTTTTATAAGATTTAGACACAACTAGAAAGTGATTATCTTTGTTAACAGTCTAGTAAATCAAATTCCACACTAATTGAGCTTAACATACCAGCTATTCATTAGTTAATAGTAATATGAGCTAAGTTCTAAAAACCCGAATAAGAATCTGGTATCAAAGCCTAGAAATAATAATTTTAAGTATAAAAGATGTTTTTATAATAAATATAAATTTGATGACTAAAAGATAAAAAAAAATAGTTAGAGAACTAACTGTTCTCTAACCTAATAGGAAGTTTCCGTTATCTTTGACCAAATAGATGAAATTGAAATGAATCTGAAAGTTAATAGACCACTTAGAAATAAAACATAGTTTCTAAATTAAAATGAAATTAAGGTGATAGTTAATAGACTAAAAATTAAATTAAGCCTGTAATAACGTCAGGTTCAACTCCTTAGTCTTTTTAACTTTAAAATGTATGTTCAACCGGTCTTGCGAGTAGGGATGCGTGTTAGATGCATGTATATTCGTAATTTAGTAATATTTTATTTATTTAGATAGATATTATATTTAAATTATAAAAAAATTAAATTAAATAATAAATATAAAAAATAATATATTTATAAATAT